AAAGTTGTACATATGTGATACTTCTAATGTATTACTTTGTCTCTTTTTGATGTTGTCAGGGGGAGCCTTCATAAAGACATGAAATGCATCGTCGCAAGTTTTGCCATCAGCAAAAAGGGGGAGTATATGAGTGCCCTTCCTATTAGAATTGTTTTGTATGATATCAAAAATTGAATACTTTAATGTTTATGTATATTAGACGGTATCCTATGAGTCTAAAGGTATATCTTAGCATTAGGAAGCATAACACCATTTTGGAAATAGTTTAGAAAAGGTTATAAAAGGGTTCATATATTAAAAACTAGTTTTAATATGAAAAATAGGTCTATGTGTCAAAAGATACATGCTATGAGTCAACACATAGCAGAAAAATATTCTATGTGTCGACACACGTAACTCATTTTTGTAGCTTGTAGCCTCTATTTGATGTGCTAACTGCATAGGTCGACACATGTGCTAACTGGACTTGGTACCAGAAGTCAATGTGGGTGTTTCAGTGGAACTAGGGAGTTATTCCATGGGTCTTTAATTATGTGCATAAGAAATTTGCCCAACTTGGTTTTCCAAGTTTTTAATACTTGCATCGGGAATGTTAAATTGATTTTTTGTTTCTTATATGAAGGACTTCGAAATATTCTCCATCTGGTTGTTTCCTTGTGTAGCCACAAGAATAATCTTCAGATGGTTATTTCCTTGTGTAGCCACAACTTGATTTGGTATAGAAAAACCAGGGGAGTTATGGTGTTTGAGGCTTTATCTGATATTGGATCTTACTCTATGAAAATTTTGGATGGTTACGCCATCCTGGGTTGTAGGTGTTGCCGTAAGGGTTGTTGTATTTGCTATTGGCCACATAATTCACATAAATGAGATTAGTTGAACATTCTTCAAATAATTAAGCTCTCTCATGATAAACACATGTAACAACATTGTCGTGAGTTAGATCTTTGAATGGATCAACAGTTGGCGCATCAGAACTCGTCATCATGTTCTTCATCATTGGGTGTATTTAGGCCACTTGAAAGGCTAAGGTTATGGTCTCAATGACTTCATGAACACTTATTTGCTTCTTTGAAACAAATATAATGGCTGATCTAGTAATGCTTTCAATTAATTTGTAACCATTTTCATAGGACTTAGCAATGTTTCACCAAAAGATGCATCCAACTTATTTCTTGATGATGGTACCAAACAATTGTAAAATGTTTCAATTGAATACAAATTGGGATCCCATTGTGTGGATATTGCCTCAACAATTCCTTGAATCCTTCTCACGTATAAAAAAATACTCATAATCTTCATTCCCCTCAATCTTGAGCATATTAGTCAAATGCTCCAAGCTTGTCACGTATATTATTAGTTCTAGAACTTCGCATGGATTTGGTAAACACATCTGTCAATTGATCATTAGAGTTTATAAAGCTTGTAAAAATGTCATCTGATTAAATCTTCTCTCTAATAAAGTGACAGTTTATCTCAATATGTTTGGTCCTCTCATGAAAGACTGGAGTTGAAGCAATGTGCAATGCAACTGGATTATCACAATAAGTGGCATTGGTCTTGCTTCTTCAATTTTAAGTTCCTTGAGCAACTGCTTTAACCAAATGAGTTCACATGTTGCCATTGCCACATCCCTATACTCTAACTCGATGCTTGATCTTGCAACTACATTTTGTTTCTTACTTTCCCAAGATATAAAGTTTCCTCTAACAAGTACACAATACCCAGAGGTGGATAGTCTATCAATGGGTGACCCTATCCAATCAGCATCAGAGTATCCAACTATCTAACTATGTACTTTATCTTCATACATGAGACATTTTCCTGAAGCATATTTGATGTTTCTCGAAATCTGGAGAACAACATCTATATGTTCCCAGCAAGGTAAATTTAAGAACTGAATTTCCACACTAACTACAAAAGAAATATTCGGACGAGTGACCATGAGATAATTCAACTTTCCAACCATCATATACTTTTCTGAGTTAGATAGAGGCTCCCCCTTATTAGGTAGGAGTTTAATACTTGGATCTATAGGAGTATTAATTGGTTCAGCGTTCAACAAACAAGTCTCTTCCAAAATATCCATAGGCATATTTGCACTGATAAATCACCAAACCATCTTTAGATTAAGTTACCTCAATACCCAAAAAATAGAGGAATTTACCAAGGTCTTATGTCTGAAATTGATTGATAGATATTGTTTCAACTGAAGTATTCACTACTAGTCACTACCAGTTATGAAAATACCATCTACACATAAAATAAGATAAATATTCCCTTCGGTTGAGTGATGATAAATACAGAAAGGTGAGCTTCAATGTGAACCATACCAAATTGATGTATTATAGTGTTAAATTTTCTAAACCAAGCTCTCAGAGATTGCTTAAGACCATAAAGAGACATGTGTAGCCTACAAACCATAATTAATGACTCCCCCTGAGCAACAAACCCAGGTGGTTGCTCTATATATACTTCCTCTTCAAGATCACTATGTAAAAATGCTTTTTTGATGTCAAGTTGATGAAGAGGCCAATGTCGAATGGTTGAAATGGCGAGAAGAAGTCTAACTGATGTCATCTTGGCTACATGCGAGAAAGTATCACTATAATCTAACTCAAAAACTTGAGTGTATCCTTTGGCTACCAAGCGAGTTTTAAATCGATCAATCTTACCATCAAGACCAACCTTCACTGTATAAAGCCAACGATAACCTACCAAATATTTTCTAGGGGAATAGGAATCAACTCCTAGGTACCACTGCTTCGAAGAGCACACATCTCATCCATCATTGTTTGCCTCCTTTCAGGGTGGGATAACGCTTCACCTAGAGTTTGAAGAATAGAAACATAAGGATTTCGTGTAATCCACTTATAGTTTTAGGAATAGAAACAGAAGGATTTCGTGTAATCCACCCAGGGTGAGATAATTCTTCACCTAGAGTTTTCGTTTAATGCAAAGGGGAAAGACGATGATAACATAAATAAATATAATATGGAGAACGATTTAGTGTTTGATGTATACCTTTTCGAAGGAAAGATTGGACTCAGGTTGCAGGATCAAATATATATAAAAGTCTCACATCGACCATAACATGTAATTAGCTCTAAATATCTCTATATATAATACAGTCTCTGTAGTGCTATTGAAAACACACGGTTTATTCAAATGTCTTAGTCTCTTGTATTTTAACATTGTATCAGATCCTCGTTTATCAGGTTTTCACTATCGAGTCACTCACCATTTATTTCCACTGTCCAGATGTCTAGTCCTGAGTATTATGGTGTGTGTTAAAATATCCCACATTGAATAATATATGGTCTAAACATGTGTTTATAAGTGGGGGAAATCCTCACCTTAAAAGTCATTTTTATAAGGATAAGTTAGGTCCAACCACATTTCTTAACAAATACAACATAAAAGCATATGCATTAAGTCAGAGAACAACTTTTGAGGTCTCACAATAACATTAAAGCATGCCTAGTTTAACTTCGGATTTCCCATTCGGTTGTAGTCTTTTATCTCTAAAGTATACTCTAGTGAATATGTGTATCATACTATTTTCAACCACATTTACTTATGATTTCATTAATCAATAGATCTCTCAATTATCAATCAAATTTTATCTATTTTTAAGTTAATCAACCAAAGAAACAGATGTATATCATTATTTCACATTGTAAAATGCATCACTTCAAATCATACCATTTAACACAAAATACTATTTTTCATTAAACTTCACATTGCTTAGCACAAAGAGGTTTATCTCATGGTAAGCAGATGAAATACAACAGCATAAGTTCTTGCAACGAACATTTCTAAACACAAATGAAAATAAATTTTGAACATAATAATGACACTTTACTCCTTGCAATCTTTCAATCATTAAGAGGCAAGACTTGTCACGCCGGGAAGCTCAATACTTCTCTAATGGAAGGAGAATGAAAGGAACTCTTCGCTTTTGGTTTGAACTTATTCTTATTCAATAAGATATTTTTGAGTAATTTCTCAAGTCTCTCAACTTTTAAACCTCCCTTTATTTCGTCCAAGAGGCTCCTTTTATATCCTCTAACTTTTAGTATTTTTTTTCTCTATCATTGGATCACGGACTTTGTGAGCTTTCATTGTTTTAGTCCAAGGAAATCAACATATTCATTATCCTTTCTCTTGAATCAGCATCAAGTAGTACAAATCTAATATGATGTAGACAATACGTCTTGTGACAGGTTTGTTACACAGACACACAAACAATGCGCGTGATTTTGTGTTCAATAGCTTTTACAGACACAAACAATGCGTGTGATTTTGTGTTCAACAGCTTTTTCAGAATTTTGTACTATAAATTTTGATCTTATCCATATAGTTTTCCATCTTGTTTATACCCATATAGTTTTCCATCTTGCTTATACTCCATTCTCATGTTTTCCCTTATTCCAATGACCTTCACTTCATACACTTACAACATCTTCTGGCTATAAGGCATGTTGGAAAATGAGGTTAAATTGATATTCCAATTTTTTCACGCTAAAATTTATCATGTGATTAATTCTACACAAGTGACACGCATAAAACCCACAAAAGAGAACCTATTATGCTCTACACAAAATGGACTAAAACATAAAAAGTCTATTTGAATTAACCTAATAAATCTTTCTAACAACAAAATATGGTCAAGTAATAATGCTCGAGTCTCTCGCAAATTGTGAGTTGTCAGTACTTCAAGGCCAAATTAATTGCACCTTATATATCACATTGTAAAATCTTTGCAACTTTCTGGTGTACCATATTTCTTTTCTTCTTAGTACTTAAAGATTGTATAAAATTTTATAAAAATGGAGTAACTAATTGAACCGAGGGAACCAACCTTTGCACTATGTACAAAAGAGCATCCTCTCTGCATCACACTGAGGGATGATTTTACAAATCTTAATCTCCTATAAATCTTTGTTGAGCTACACCCAGAAAAAGAATAATAAATAAAAAATGAAAATTATAAACAATCAAAATCCTTCAACACTAGCCTTCCTAGAGGCTGAGGTTAATGACTTGCGGCTTTCTTGCCTATCAAGCTCCTCCAAATATAGGGTAGAAGAAAATGCGTGAGGCGGAAGTTGAATTGGTACTCCCGACCATCTTGGAGGTGAAACAGATAACAAGGCTCTGGCTGATGGTGAAGGAGAGAAACTCGATCTTGATGCAGGGTGGATGATAGCATCGAGACTTGGTGATCTTGACATTTGTTTTGTAGAGGTTTGTGCTGGTTCTTGCAATGGGAATTTAGAAGAATGCTTCAAATCTTGTATCTTTTTTAGATTTTCAACAACAGTTCCCATAGTTGGTCTTTCTGATGGCTCCATTTGAAGGCATCTTTGTGCAATGTTAGCTATTGTTCTTGCTGCCTTACAAGGAAAGCGGCCTTTGAGCTGAGGATCCATGATCATTGACAAACGATGATTATCTGATAGGAAAGGTCTGCTCCACTTCACCAAATTCCTCTCTTCCTTAGGGTGACGGCTATCGAGATTCTTTCTTCCCGTAAGTAGCTCTAGAAGAAAAATTCCAAAACTCCATACGTTGCTCTTTGGAGTGAGCAATCCCTTCTCCAGTGTTTCCATCGATAGGTTTCCAACAGCCTGAGCAATATTATATTCATAAACATGATGAATGCGAACAAAAATTATGGAACATATATTCATGATAAATACGACGAAAATGTAAGAGGGCATTAGCAAAATATTGTAGGTATTTTCGAGTAACACTACAATATAAACCAAAGCACTTACAGAAGAACTGCTTGAAATCTCTTCCTTGGGGACATGTCCAACACAGCCATACCCTGAAAGCTTTGCACTGAAATCTTTGTCAATCTGTATGTTGGCTGTTGAGAATTCATTATACATTGCCTGCAGACGCAAAAAGATCATGAAAAAACGTACACTTGATTGAATAATGTGCTAAAGGGAGGTCAATGGAAACAAAATAATGAAATCCTTGAAATTATCCAGTCCATATATTGATCATATAGCACCGACACTTCATAGTGAAAGCATGTCCGGTGTCCACAACACAATCACATGCAGCTACATTCAAATATTTTACCTTTTAAAATAATATATTGGTGCCAAAGTGTCATTGCTTCATAGATTGTGACAAACAAAATAGCTAGGTCCTTTAACTCTCCCTCAGTGTGATCAAATAGAAAATGAAGATATAGCATGAGGTTTCTTCAGCTCATTACATGATTCAATATAATTTCATACTAATTACCTGAAAAGGCCCTTCTTCATGCAAGAAAGAAAGACCTAGTGCAGCACATATTGCAATTTTCATTCTTGTATTCCAATCTATTGATGGTCCATCAGATCTCCCATACAATAGGCGGTCCAAGCTTCCATGGTGTAGCTTCTCATAAACCAACATTCTATGTTCCGAACCATCACGGGCGTGAAATCCTAGCACTCTACAGAGGTTTGGATGCCGCAAAGATGCAAGAGTATTAACCTCATTTATGAATTCCTTCAAGCCCTGAAAAAAAAAAGCATATAGTTTTAGTCCAAAGGTAATTTAGAATTTTCATGTAAGAAAACTCACAACACTAACAGTAACTTGTAACTGAAATTATGCTTCAATCAGAAAGTATGCAATTCTTAACAGTTTTTCAGCACCACGAAGATTTGACATGTTCGTATGCATGGACTAGAAACAAAACAGAGTAAGGAGGATAGCCAATATAGCAACAAGAAAAACCTATAAACACTGCAATATAGCAAAGTTGAATAACACAAACTGAGAAAACATAAAAACAGTCTAAATTGTTGCAATTTGTTGGTGAATTCTTCATTTTTAATTAGGGAAGTAATGGTCAATTTATAGCCGTTCCAACTCAAACCGGGAAAAAAAAGGATAGGAGTAGATTTTTAAACCAAACCAATTGAATGAACAAATAACAAAACCAAAGAGATTGGATCAGATGGCTTTTCCTCCTAAAACAGAACCAATCAAATCCAGGGACACCCATACATATAAGGGAATGATACAAAATAACTGTCACAAACATTTATCATAATATTAGAAACAATAACCCACAAGTACTGATGATAGGGCAAAAAGAAACATCACTAACCCAGTGACATTTTGGTAAAAGAAAAACATGTGGAATAAAATTAAGAATCGATTTTGCTTACCATAAAAGCCAAGAATTGTAACTTCATGGTTAACATGTACAAGGATGAAAGTATTTACCTTTATTGAATCCAGTAACATGTTTTATTATCAACTCACATTACAAAATCACTAACATGCGAAGAGGGGATGTAATGAGTAATGACCAATTAGGCAATTAATAATTTGTATGCATGAGAATACTGAGAAATGAAATTAAAATACTGCACTACAGAGAAACATTACCTGAGTTTGATGGGTCAAGGCGTGTAAAACTAAAATACTGCAATACAGAGAAATGTACCTGATTTGATGGCCGAAGACGTGTGACCGTGGCTTCAAACTTTTTTGAACTTGAAGCATCATCACCAAAGGAAGCTTTATAGATAGTGGATGAAAGAGATTCTGACATGTATCGATCTGAAGAGAAATTGTGGCAAGCAGCAGCAAGCTCATCGTAAGAAAAATTTCTAAGTGACCCAGTTGGTGGAAGCGGCAAAGGTCCAGAAGAATATAAGGGAACACTAGCTGTCCCCAACTTAAAGCTTCCCATAGTCTTCAGTGTCCCACCACCCTTAGGAGATGGAAGCGGTAAAGGTTGTGGACTAGGTGAACGCTGCTCCTTCACTGATCCACCTCGATATTTTGGCTCTTCTTCCTCATACTCAATTGAGGCCAAAGCATCTTGATCTGCTTCATCGAGTGACGATGGAGCAGACAATGCTCGTATTCTATTGTTACTGACTTTAACACTGGGTTGAATGGGTTTCACTTTGATCTTAAAACTAGGAGGTGCTGACTGGAGCGAGCGAGTATGAGTTTGAGGTTCAGGAAGTACTGTTGGTGAATCCTCGCCAGGGCTTACACGTTTTACATACACAATCTGATCAGACTTTTTCTTCTTTCTCTTCAATACAGGAAAGCACCCCATCTTATGTACAGAACTAGAATGTTATAGAAAACTGCTTATGTCTGCAAAAACAAAATAAAAGGAGCATAAATAAAAGTTATATCCGAAACAACTTACAGAAATTCAACATAACATTCTGATACCCCACACGAAATAATGCAAACATGCGTTTTCCTAAGACATAGAGTGACACCCTATTTAAAATTCTCATATCTATTAAAATAAACTAAGCACTTGATAGAAAAAAGCTTAAACGAAAATGATCAAGCAAGTGCCTATCATATTTTACTCCTAATTCTTTATCTGGGCAGTGAGTCAATGAGATTCCCGCCACACCTACTCCTCACTGTCTTCATTGTCACTCCACAATGGACATTAGGCTCCCTGCCCCTCAGAGATCCATACTATCGGAATACAATGAAATTAAGATTCCTAAAATTCCAGGGAGTTAGCGTGTGTCTGTGTGATTCTGGAAGCAAAAGAAAACTCCATGTGACCTGTATTGCTGGAGTGAGGCCACGAACAATCACGATTCATGCAATTCGGATTATCAAGTGCCTAAAGACTATATTTGATTAGTCCAAAGGAAAATTAACTACAAAAAAGATTTTCATTTTCATTTCTTCCATTCCTTATTCAGAACTATTACTACAATTAGTAAACAATTGGTTAATCAATCAATCACCTCATAAACCCCATTTCCAACTTTTATCCATCACATTCCAACAAAAAAAAATGGTGTCTAACCAAATTATATTATTTTTCCCATCTCAGTCTCCAATTTCTACAACAAATATTCAATAAATAAAAGCAAAAAAAAAAGTGTATGAATGCATGTTTACCGATGAACAAAACTACTCAATTGATAAACCCTTACTAGTTCTACTGCATGAACCTCCACATCAAAAACCACATGAATGAAAAACAACTCAGATCCATAATATCAATGAAATTTTAACATATCAAAGTAACAAAAAATATGAAATTTCATCCCCACTCCAACGAAAAAGCAAACAGTATTTACAAACAGATTGAAAATAATAAATCATCTATACAAAAACCTAAATTCCGAATGAAATTTCCGCAGAAAAACGCTAAAATTACACGAATCGAAGGGTAAGTAGAAAAAATCAAACAAACCTGGACGAGAAATGGTTGTTCATGCAATTCACAGTGAAGCGATCAAAAGTCGAAGAAATGGTAAAAATTTATGGAAATTTCGTGTGGTTTTCATTCGTCCACGATTGAATTTTTATAGAGTCAAAGAAAGCAGATTGAAAAAGCTGCGAAGTGAAGGTTTTAGAGAGAGAAAGTAGAAGAATATTGAGAGAGAGGGAGAGAGGGAGAGAGAGAGAGAGAGAGAGAGAGAGAGAGAGAGAGAGAGAGAGAGAGTTGTTATAAAAGAAAATGGAAAATAATTAACATTGGTCAAAGATATTGAAAACCCAAAGTTAATTTATGTTATTAAGATAATTAAATTATTAAACGCTAATAAGCAAATAAGATTTGTCATTAATATTTAAATGTTTGTATTGGTATTGGAAATGGATGTAAAATATGAAATAATTTTTCTAGAAAAAATTGAGATACATTGTTTCTTATAATATTTATATATTTTTCTAGTCAAAAGAATAAATAAATACTCATAATTGTAGTCAAAACAAAAATATTTATATAAAGAAAATATTATATTTAATGGTACTAATTATATAGAAAATTTTGAATTTAAATAAATTTTACTAATTTCAGTTTATTTAATGGTATTAGTCAAAATGTATATCACTTAATTACTATAAATTATGTTTTCTATTGACTGTTTTATTTTTATTTAAAAAGTTCATATTCAATTCTCATTTAAAGGAAAATATAGATATATTATTTTAATTGAAATTTAAATATTCCTTTTTGCACGTTTAAGAGTGTATCCATTTTGTTATTTATAATATTTTTTATGAGATAACTTTTTTCTATTTAATTAAATTCTTAAATTAACACAAAATTGATTGTTTTATTTATAGTCAAAATTGAGTGAATTTGAGAATACTGAAATCCGATTAGAAATGAGAAAAAAATATGCATAATTTTTAAAAGACATTTATAAAATACATTTATAAAATAGATATATGCAAGAAGATAGATCTACAAAATAGAGTTTATGGATTCAATTATTTAGATGAAATATTTTAAATTAATTTTGTTAAATTTTTATGTGAATTTTTTTACCATTTATCTATTTCTAATTCGATTAAATTTTATAATTGTGCAGATATTTATATTATGATGAAGCATATTGATCATAAAAGAAGGAGAAGGAATGAAGTAAAATGTGAAAAAGATAATAATGCTTCAAAGAAGAGCTTCAATATATATACATTACAATTTAAATAGAGAAAAAGGAGGAAAGAGAGTAAAAGTTTTATCTCTAACCAACCGATCACAGTCTAGTTATTTTACTCTAGTAATCAATAAGTAACTAACAAATTAATGGTCAATCAACTCTATGTAATTAGTTAAACTAATTAAAAAATTAAAATAGTTAATCACAACATCCTCTCTCAAGTTAAGCATAGTGAATGTTGATCATGTTAAGCTTGGTAGCAAACTTGTTGAAAGTTGATATAGGTAGAGTCTTAGTCGAGAAACTCGCAAGCTGCTCATGAATGGATATAGGAATAAGACAATTTAAACCTTGTTGGGATTTCTCTCAGATCAAATGAAAATCGATCTCGAGATGTTTGGTGCGTTCGTAAAACTCAAGATTGGATGCAATATGGATTGCACTCTGATTGTCATTGTAAAGGACTTGGAGCTTAGAATATGTGATGTTCAGTTCTTTCATAAAAAAACTTCAGCCAAAGCAACTCACGTGTGGCGAAGGACAATGTCTGATACTCGGCCTGGAAATTGTATGTCGTTTCTTTGCACGACATTATATGAGGGAGGATCAAAGAAAAACAGTAGCCTGAAATATACTTCCAAGAATCAAGGCACCCTGCCCAATCAGCATCAGAAAAGTCAAGGAGTTGGAATTCAGATTTTTTGTGAAACAAAAGACCTATTCCAGGGCTACTTTTCAAGTAACGAATTACCCTGCAAGTAGCATGATAGTGTGCCATTGTGGGATTGTGTAAAAATTAGGTGAGTTGTTGGGTGGCATATGTGATATTTGGGCGTGTAGTGTTGAGGTAAAATAAATGACCAATCAATCTTCTATAAGCTCCAATGTCTTCAAATGATTTTCCAATGTTAGCATGGATTTTAAATAATGGATCAAGTGGTGTTATAGCTGGCTTGGATCCAAGAAGACCAGATTCCTGCAAAAGATCAAGGTAATAGTTTCGTTGGGATAAAGATATCCCTTCTTTTGAATGGGCTACTTCCAAACTAAGGAAGTATTTAAACATTCCCAAGTCTTTGATGCTGAAATTCTCATTAAGGGAGATTTTGATGCGAGTGAACTCATGCATATAATTACCAGCTAGTATTATGTTCTCAACATAAACTAAAATGGTTGTAAAGTGCTTGTCAGTTTTCAAAGTAAACAGTGAATAGTATGAAACAAATTGAGTATAACCTTGTTGAATCAGCAAGGTTGTTAATTTTTTAATACTATTTTTGATTGTCTTGCTTTAAATCATAGAGACTCTTTGTATCTTGCATACCTGATTGGGCTTGTGACATATAACTCCTTCAGGTATCGTCATATAAACATCTTCTTGTAATTCTCCATGCAAAAATGTACTATTGACATCAAGCTAGTGTAGAAACCAATTGTTGATAGCAGCAGTTGCAAGAAGTGTTCTAACTATTGTAAGCTTAGTTATAGGTAAGAAAGTGTCGAAAAAATGCAGTCCTTCAATTTGATTGTAACCTTTGGCAACGAGTCTCGCTTTATACCTTTCTATTGTACCATCTTCTTTATACCTTGAAAACCCATTTGTTCCCAATAGTCTTGACATGTGATGGCATATCTGTAACACCCCCCTTATTCCTACCCCAAAATAATTCAATTAATCAATTAGGCATAAGTCAAAATTTTATCAGAGTACATGTAAGTCATAGCACAAAAGGGGTATGTCACATTATCATGAAAATTCCAATGCAATACAACACCTGCTCTACAGATATGCAACAACGGGTCAACACCCACAAGAAAATATTTAGAACAAGGCGGAAACATCTAAATATTCCATAATTCCAAGACATGTATTCACATATACAATTGTCATCCAACATGTTAACAAAACATAACATCAGCAGATACATACACAGATGTATCACAAAAGAATCAAAATAACTCCTATCTACCCGGTGCTACATATCAGAGCCGACCGACCAAAAAGAATGAAGTCACGCTTCACAAAAATGTCTCCAGCCATCTAATCTGCAATGCCTCATAGAGCATTATCAAACAGCAGAAGGGTGAGAAACAGTATCATAATAAATAATGCATAAAGACATATATAAATATCTCATATCAACAATTATGCATTCTACGCATTCTCACCACAACTCACCTTGTACAATATAATATATCTATATACAACTATATATCACCAAGCATACTCAATATGCATCATCAATGTTTATATCTTTTCCTAAACATGCAACCACATATATATATATATATATATATATATATATATATATATATATATATATATATATATATATATATATATATATATATATATATATATATATATATATATATATATATATATATATATATATATATATATATATATATATATATATATATATATATATATATATATATATATATATATATATATATATATATATATATATATATCCTCCAGTATCTACATTATGCCAAAACATACATTTCACGTTAATTCAATAAACATACACAACATGTTTATTTCACTATACATCATATACAGATGACAAATGCAAATCATAGAGGACAACTCGCTACTCTATGTAAATGCAACACAACATCGATCTAGTCGATCGTCAGATTCTCCTAAGGATCAATCTACCCTCACCCTTCATGG